GCTTAAAACAAGAAATCTTGCAGAAAAGTTCTGGACTCATACAAAATGAGTTTGATACTAAGATATATTGTAATAGCTGTTGCTATCAGAGCTGACAAATTTAATTACTGCTGCAAATATTGAAGTTCTTATAGTGCGCTGGGAAAAAAACCCTTTGTCAATAGAAGTTAAACCAAATCACTAAGAGTACTTTAAACTACTGTAGTCTCTGGCTTTGCCTATTTTATTGTGGATGGCAATGCATATTAAGGCTGTGCTTCTATTTTAAAAACAAATGGAAAATAACACCAATTTAAATATTAAGTTATCTTAAGAAGACCATAGTTTTAGGTTTTATGGAAGAATTTAGTTATGATTTCCATTCTGCATAAAGGCCAATTATACTGAAGTTTTGATTTCAATCTCTCTCTCTCTCTCTCTCTCTCTCTCTCTCTCTCTCTCTCTCTCTCTCTCTCTCTCTCTCTCTCTCTCTCTCTGTGTGTGTGTGTGTGTGTGTGTGTGTGTAAAACACATTTTGGCTGGTAAAGTAAAAGGCAGCTGCTTCTGTCTGATTTATTTCAGTTATCTTGACCTGCTTTGTGATTCCATCTTTCTCTTCCTGAAGATTTATTTTTTTCCTAATATCTTTTTGTAATATATATGGCCATTCATACTATCCTAATAAACTCAGCACTTTTGCATATGGATTCACACTGATTCTGGTACTAAATATTACAAACAAATATTCAATAAGTCTTCAATGGTGAGTTTAATAGCACACATTATTGTATATGTGACAGGACCTGATTTTTTTTATTATGCCACACAGAGCACAGTACTTAGAACAGCCAGTTCATTTATTGTCACATTGAGGGATTATGTTGTCAGTTGATGTCCAGAACTGCTTCCTTTAATGCCAATAGATGTACCTTTTGAATTCCTGCCATTTAACTTCTTTATTCCATATATCACACAAGTCACCATTCTCTATATAATTTATGGACCTCAGCTTCTAAGCATCAACAGGACTGGAAGCAAAATGCAACTGAGATTCAAAATAGAAAAAATGCGACAGCATGTTGGTTCGTCTCAGAACTATCAGTTGGAAAAAAAATATTGCCATCAGAAAAATAAAATTGGGAAGTATTGTGGAGGAGAGAGATCTCAAACATAACTCAAATTGTTAATTTGTTAATCAAATTTGGCATTGTCTCATTTTGGGCTGCAGATAACAGGATCATATTTTGGCAAATTCTTTCTGATAATAAATTGACCATATGTAGTTGGCTATTACGTTAGATATAAAATACTGTAGGGTAGTCTTCCGGTGTGCTGATTTATCACATACAGAGAAGGTTTCGTTTGCATTCTCCACTATGCATATGTAGAACAACCTTCAGCAAACAGGGTTGAAGTGATTAAAGTCTTAATTAAACCAAATACCTAAAGTCTGGGGTAAAGAAGGAATATTATGATATGTATCTAAGCAATTAAACACTCAAAAGTGCTATGTTCTTGTTCAGGTTATTTGCAGTTATATGTTCTGCATTCTTTATAGGAAAAAAACAGATAGACAAGTATTTTGAAGGCACTATACATGCTTATTCACTCAGACATGTCATTTACAGTATGCTTCAGACCTGAATTGAAATGAACTACACACCAAGGAATCTTGTCAGATTGCAGGATTTTGTGTTAGTTGTTTAACTAAGCTAGCTATATTGCTGTGACTTCACACACTATTTTTACCGTAATGGGTATACCTTGGTTTGCTTTCATCCACCACAAGGAGCAAATGTCATCACAGTGAGTTTGGAAAAAAAACATCTCAGTACTTGGAATTTAATTCCTATTTCAGTATTAGCATTGGATCTTCAATTTTTCTTCATAGTAAGAGACTCAGAGTATGTCATTTACTTGAGACTGTCAGTAGACTAGCTGAAGTCTACTCAAAATGTAATTGGCAGTTTCAGTCTTCATGCATTCAGAAGACACCTACAAAACAGAATGCCACAGTCTATACAGTAAATTAAAGTCCTCCTTTTCCCTAGTCCATATGTTAATAACGCGTGAAAGTATATATGAGAACTTGTAAAAAAAATCAGAAACTGGCTTGAAATAAACTGCATTTTTTGAAGAACAGAATATTCAGAATAATAATTCAAATAAATTAGATGGAATTGGGATGCAAAATAGAATCATTTCTTTGGCAGTTATCTTTTTGTATTTTTTTTAATTGTCCACATACAGGACCTAATTTAACCCCAAATGTAAAAGATTATTGACCTTACTTTGAAAAAAACTAATGATAAACTCATTTTCCAATATGGATATCATACAAGGAAAACCCATTAATTATTAATTATTCAACTCATATCACTTTGCTAAGGTGGTATCTGTCCTTTGCTAGACATGGGAAAAATTGTCAGTTTTAGTTTGGCACTTTGCTATTATTATAAAATTAAAACCATCTCAGTTGACATTCAGAATGTAGAACAAAAATCCTCTTGATAGTATGCATTTCTCTATTAATTTTTTTAAACAAATTGCAGTGGAATATTTGAGAATGAGTGGGTTTTGTTGCATTTTATATAGTTTGGAATTATCTTGATTCTCATTAACATGCAAACTGGACAAATTGTTCTATTAATGTTATTACTTCCACCCAAAAAATAATCTATTTGTTAGCAGTTATTAGTGTTTGTGTATAATTTTGAAATAGAATAGATTATTATTTTGATGAAATACTGCATGAAATATGTATGGTATTTATTGATGCACTGAAGAATATAACCATGACCAGAACTCATATCCTTCCATGAATACAGGACACTCGTACTCATAAATCATATGAACAAGATAGTGACGGGAACAGCACCCACTGATGCTTCTCCACATACACATAATGATTTGAACATCTACAGTGTTCTGAGGGAATTACTTAATATAGAAATAAAAGGGATGTTTTTAGAAGTTTGATTCAGTCCAGAACAGTTTGGGGTGACTATTTTAGGGAGAGAAGCTGTGATGGCTCAGCCTGTCAGATGCTGAGCTTATGAGCTAGAAGGCTGACATCCTAGGTTTCAGCACCGCACAACGGGGTGAGTTCCGGTTCCTGTCCCAGCTCCTGCCCACCTAGCAGTTTGAAAGCATACAAAGGCAAGTAGATAAATAGATAGTACTTCAATGGGAAGGTGAAAGCATTCTGTGCGTCTTTGGCATATAGTCATGCTGGCCACATGACCATTAGCTCCCTCAGCCAAAAAACATAGATCAGCACCATGTTGTAGAGTTGGACACAACTGGACAGGAAAATCTTTACCTTTGTTTTAAGGAGACTGAAGCAAAAATACTTTAGGGTTGGAAAATTTAGATTTTGAAAAAATCCTGCTAGTTCCTACCTTTCCACTCATTTATTCAGAGGCGCTATTCAAAATCATTTTTTAGAAATTGAAAATGGTAGTAATCTTATTGTACTGACTAATAAGACTGCTCAAGCTTTCAGATTCAGCTCTGAAAAGCTGACTTGGATCATGCAGGAGTCCAAAGGCAGCATTACTAGAAGTCTCATTAAAACAGCTGCATCTGCTTCCAAATACAGTTCTTGCAAGGGCCCAATCCCAGAAACAGATACCTCTTCTTTAAAAATAATTTGCTCACAGATGCTGCATTTACATTCCTCCACACCTTTTGGAATCAAATCTGTGGTTTTTCACAGTACTAGTGAATAGTAATTGAACATTTACAGAAAAGCACAAACTTTTATGAAATAAGTAGGGCATTACTTCTACAGATTGTTTAATTAAATATGATCTTCCAAAGCAACAACAGTCAGAGGAAGGAAGTTATTGAAATATAAAATTTTGTGCAATTCCATTTTTTAAAAACTTGAATTACTAGGAAAATTAAATTATACATGCACATTATTCATATGTCTATTTTAAGATAGTTGTTTTAGAAAAAAAATGTAGATGCATTATTTATTCCAAAGACTAAGGATATTCTGTATGGTAGCTTTTATTGAGGGATGGAATCTGAAAAGATCAGTACAATCATATCTGTATCCAGTGCTTTTTTTTTGTCACTGGAACAGAGTTCCGGCACCTTTTTTTGATGGATTTTCCAAGTTTTAAAAGTAACTTTTGAAAATTTGATGTTTGGACCACATGGACTTGAATCACGCTGTCGAGCATAGCATATCGGCGGCAAAATCATTAAAATGACGCATGTGGGCTGCTTGTGTGTTGAGTCCAATGCATGTGTACTTCATCTGCTGCTCGGCTTGGTGGCACTGCTCGGCTTGTGATTGGTCATGTGGTCACGCGCTGAGTGCTTACTGGGGGCAGCAACCATTATGTTTCATTACACAACTAACGTGTGTGGGTGTGTGTACAGTGATTGACTATGTGCGAAAGGTAAATAAAAGATTAAGAAGATGTGAGTTCTGGCACCTTTTTTTCTTACAAAAAAAAAAGCATTGTCTGTATCTAATTAGAAAATAGACTTCATGAATTGACTTCATAACTTGCCATCAACTGTCTGACTTGGCTTGATATTTGACTAGCTGCAAAGGACCCAAATTTTGTCAGAGCTAACTTTTGTTTTTGTTTTGTTGTTTTAAAAGTTAACATTTTTTAAAACAACTTCTACTCTTAAAGTTAACCTCCACCCCAACATCTGCTTCACCTTGTGACCCAAACTTGGCATTTCTTAGACTAGTTTTGGTTGAGGAAGTCTTTTTGCCAGTTAAAGTCTTGCACTATTTTTATTTTTTTTTACTGCACACTAATGTATTACTTGGAGTGGGGACAGCTGCTACAGTGTCACTCAATCTCAGGATTGATTGATTTTTCTAATTTATTTAGCCACTCAACTCACAGACAAGTCAATTACATATGCAGTCCCTTTCTGAAAATGGATATTACATATATGTGCATATAGGAAATAATCCTCCTTTCATCTACTCCAGCCAGAAAAAATAAAAATCCATTTTTTTTCTATTTTTCCTCTTTTTATTATAGACTATGCAGACCTCCATGAAGACATTCTGGATGCACATGTCATAGGATATTGATCATCATTTTATAATTGATGTTATAACTGGGCCATATTTCTAGAATTTGGAAGGGCTTTCAACATTTGATGACCTCAACGGCACCAACGTGTTATCACATGGAATTGTAGCAGGTAAGCTACATTGTGATATTGTGATAATTTTGTATTTATTGTCTCAATGTTCATTATATTCCATTTACTGGGGTGTTGAATTTCAGTGTGAAAGTTAGAATTGCAGTGCAATGTCATTAAAGAATTAACAAGCTTCTAACTATCCAGTATATGAGCATTATTTTACCTTCAGACAGCTGTGGTTTTCCCAGTCTCTTATGTTGTCAGTGGGACAAGGTGGAAGAAAAGAAATATATTGGCATTCCTTATTCATGCTGATTGATTGTCTCCCTGTTTTTCTACAGGACATTTGTAATTCACTGAGTACTGTGCAACAAAATTGCTCAATTCTAGTCACGCAAATGGAAGAAACTAGTATTTAAATTGCCTTACATCAAATCATATAATAGATTTAACTCAGTGAACATTGTCTAGACTGGCTAATGTTTGTCTATGGTTTCCCAGCTGGAAGATAAATATTGGGAGACCTTTGTAGGAAAACCTGTTGGTTTGGTTATTGGTTTAGCCAGTTTGGCCTAGTGGTTAAGGCATCAGCCTAGAAAGCAGAAGAACCCCTCTTTCTTGTAGCAGCCCCTCAGATACTGGAATACTGCTCTCATGTGTCCCCTATTTCTTCTTTTTTTTTAGACTAGCCAAACCCAAGTCCCACAGCTGTTATTCATATGTTTTAGTCTCCAGGCCTTTGATCACTTTAGTTGCTCTTCTCTGAATTTTTTCCAAACTCACAACATCTTTTTTGTGATACGGTGACCAAAACTGGCTGCAGTATTCCAGGTGTGGTCTTACTAGGGTTTTATAAAGTGGTACTAATACTTCGCGTGATCTTGATTCTATGCCTCTGTTTATACAACCCAGGATTATATTAGCTTTTTTGATTGTTGCTGCACACTGCTGGCTCATAGTCAAGTGATCATCCGCTAGGACTCCAAAGTCCCTCTCATAGTTACTGTTTTTAAACCAGGTCTCACCCAATCTGTACTTGTACCTTTGATTTTTCCTGCCTAAGTGTAAAACTTTGCTTTTCTCCACACTGAAACTCATTTTGTTGGTTAGGGCCTATTGTTCAAGTTTGTCTAGATCTTTTTGGATCCCGAGTTTGTCTTCTGGGGTGTTAGCTACTCCTGTCAGTTTGGTGTCATCTTCAAATTTGATGAGTTCCCCTTCAATTCCCACATCTAAGTCATTTATGAAGATATTGAAGAGTACAGGACCTAAGATGTGGTACCCCATTGCTTACTTCTTTCCATGTGGATATAGTGCCATTGAGAACTACTCATTGAGTACAGTTTGTCAACCAGCTACAGATCCATCTGGTGGTGATGTTGTCTATTCCACATTTTTCTACTTTATCAAGAAGTAGGTTGTGGCCTACTTTATCAAATGCCTTACTGAAATCTAAGTATACTATGTCCACTGCATTTTGCTGATCTACTAGTTTAGTCACTTTATCAAAGAATGAAATAAGATTGGTTTGGCATGATCTGTTTTTTTAACAAACCCATGCTGGCTACTGGTATGACTTCGTTTGCTTCTAGTTGTTTGCAGATCTGTTTTTTGATTATCTTCCCAGGTATTGATGTTAAATTTATTGGTCTGTAGTTTGCTGGGTCTGTTTTTTTCCCCTTTCTTGAAGATGGAAACCACATCAGCCCTTTTATAGTGCTCAGGTACTTCCCTGGTGCTCCAGGACTTTTGAAAGATATGGTGCAATGGTTCTGAGATAACATCTGCCAGCTCTTTCAGAACTCTGGAATATAATCTGTTGAGTCCCAGTGAGTTTTTTCACACTTATGACCATTGAAGCATCGCTGTGGTCACATGAAAAAATTTGGACCCTTGGCAACTGGCATGTATTTATAACAATTGTGGTGTCCCGTAGTCATGTGATCACCTTTTGCTTCGTTTGACCTTCTGACAAAGGCAATGGGGAAGCCAAATTCACTTAACAACTGTGTTACTAACTTAGCAGCTGCATTGATTCACCTAGCAACTGTGACAAGAAAGGTCGTAAAATGGGGCAAAACTCACTTAACAACTGTCTTGTTTAGCAATGGAAATTTTGGGGTCAATTGTGGTTGTAAGTTGAGGACTACCCATATGTCAGATTAATTTGAATATGATTACTAGATAGAAATACCAAGGATCTTTTCCCCCTTGAATAGTTAGGAAGGATAGTTAATGGGCAGAAAGCTGACAACCTGAAGGAGGAAGAAGCAGGCAAGGCTAGCTCTGTAGGATGCAGAAATGTATGAAGAGCAAAAATAGATTGGTTTTGCAATTAAAAACTGATGGATTTCTAATGCAGTCTAGTGCATTGCTTTCCCCTCCTTTGTGGCCCACAAACTGTAGGGCAACATTATAAAGCAAATTATAATTTGTCTCTCCACTTAATATTAATAATAGTGTTTTTAAAACTGCACTCAAACAATTAGAGGATTTTCTCTGATTCAAAAAGGCATTGTCAACCTGAGAACCAGGCTACTGGACCAGGAGACCAAGTTACAGATATAGAGCTTCCTGTATTTTTTCCTCTTTCAGTCTAAACTATCTCACAAGGTGGCTGATGAATGGAGAGCAATGGAGAAGGAAACTGTTGCGTCCTTGGCGGGAAAACAGACACGAGAAGCAGCTGGAGTTCTCAGGTTCTTTTATTCAGCGTTCAGCTTACAGGAAGATGGCTTCAGCTCAGCCCAAACGCCTCACAGCCTCTTATATAGGCAACTCCCGGGTAAATGGGTTACTTTTCCTGCGCCAGCACCCGCGCATGCGCACGGCGCTGGCGACAGCCTGTCTGGTCCCGGGCAGCTTTGCACCTGCCCGGGACTGCCTGCAAACGCCCGAGCCGTTTGCAAGGCTCGGGACATAACACCCCTTTCCCCCGGGCTAAACCTACTATCAACATACAACATTTATTTTACACGACAATTTGCTCCCCAGTGTTCCCACTGTTTACTGGCTTTTGTCTTGCCAACAATGTTATGTAATCTTCTAGGTACTTAGGAGATTTCTTTGCTCTCTGTGACCTTCTTAGCTCTGGGTTACTGGCATAAGTCCCCTGACTGGAGGGAGGCGTGAGCTTGTTCTCTCTACTGTGCCCTGGTGTCTTCCAAGGACTGTGCCCCGATGCCTGGCCTGCTTGCTTGCCCACCGGGCTCGTCAGGCCAGGGCTTCTGTTGCTGTGTGACCTGGTTGTCCTACCTAGCTGTAGCCCCTCAGGCCCCTTGAAGTGATAGCCACTGCTGGGCGTCTCTGTAGAACCCCCTAGGTCAGTCCAAGACCTGTCAGGAGGCTGTCTATTCCCTGAACCCCATTCTGTTTTTGGGCTCGTGTGGGTTTCTGTACTCTCCCAAAACTCAGGTGTCCCCTGATTTGTGCTAGGGGTGTTGTAGTCGGGACTTGGTTCCTCGACTAGCTCTGTGTATGTTTGACCCCCTGTAGGATTTGGGGTAAGGTCAGGCCAACCTTGGGCATTGTGTGCCAGCTCTCTTGCGGGAATGATTTGTTGGGATGCCCCCGGGTATCCTCCGTTGCTGGAGTGCTGTGTGCTGTGTGTGGAAAGTGAGTATGCCCCCGGGGTAACTCCCTGGCTGGAGTAGGCGTGAGTGCCTGTTGTGTGGGTAAGCTCCAAGACTTCCTTTTCGGAGCAATTGCAGAACCTTGGGACGAGCCGTTTGTGGCTCACTCAGTGGCGATGGGCAGTAGCTCTTGCCCTTCCCTTTGCTCCAAAGGGTCCCCCTCCCCCCCTGGAAAAGACCCAGGAGTTTCAGCAGAAAAGTCCCGCCTAGAGCGGAGTTGGTCGATGTGCCGACGCAGGACACGACCGTTGTCCAGGGCAACCTCGTAGGAGAGAGGACCTGTGATCCTGGACACAGAAGCGGGGACCCATGTATGACAAGGCCCGTAATTGCGAGCCCAAACCGGGGCACCCACAAGTAGTTGTCTAGGTGCCCTAGGATGTGAGGTAGATGAAGGCAGTCTGTCCGGATGCAACCGGTCAAGTCTCGTAGTAAGTTGGCGCCCCCAACGAAGTTAAGCTGGACTTCTCCCTGTAGAAGTGGACGGTGTGGTGCGATAAGAAAGGAGAAAGTCAGCCAACCTGTGATGCCAGTCCCCGTAGGTGAGTCTCTTCAAGGCGTCCTTTGCGATGCGCTCCATGCGTTCAGCCATACCGTTGGTGGATGGGTGAAAAGGCGCAGATGTGGCATGACGAATCAGGTTTGCCTGTAAGAAAGCCTATTCTGGCTGGGGACTCTGGTACCCTTCAGGCGTTCTTCTTGAGGTTGTGCCTTTCGTCGGCCCAGACACACAGCTGCAATGTGCCCTTGTTTGCCGCATGCCCGGCAGGTAGCGGAGCGGAACTTGCAGTCGGTTCTCCTGTGGCGACCTCCACAGCCGATGCACTTGAGCGGAGATGAAGAGCTTTCCTTCTGATTTTCTCCCTTCGCGGGGTGTAGACGGTCGACTTCTTCGTCCGGATCCTCCTCGGAGTTTCGTCGGACGTCTTCTTGGTGCACGGACGCACCCTCTGCACTGCTTCTGATCGGCCGCAGGTTCTTGACGGCGCCGCCTGCTGCTTCTTCCGCGGGGGCTTCCCTTAAAGCGTCTTGGAAGGATAATTCTTCCTTAGCGAAAAGTCTCTGTTGTAGCTCTCGATGCCTCAACCCGCACACGAATCGGTCCCTCAGTCGTTCCTCGAGGTCCTTGACCTCGCAGGGCTTGCCGGCCTTCCGTAACGCGGCGATGTACTCCTTGGCTGACTCCCCGGACCGTTGATCCCTCTGCTCGAAGGTGTGGCGCCATGAGATAACGGACAACTTGGGGTGGAAGTGGTCCTTCAGCAGCTTCTTCAGGTCTGCGTAGCTTACAGACTCTACTGGAACAGGTGCTGCAAGGTTTTCTGCGATTTCGAAGGCGTCTTGGCCGCACGCGCAAAGCAGGGTGGCAGCCTTCAAGCTATCTTCCCTCACTTGGTTTGCCTTGAAGTAGTTCTCCATTCTGGA